TTTCAAAAATAATACTACCTCCGTCCCACTGTCTTTGTCCACTTTTGACTTTTGGAACTGTTCATCTAAGCACTTTGACTCATCAAATTCTCTCAATGTGTAAGCCTAAAAATAGTCATGTGTGATCTTGTTTGATTCGTCTTAACATATAGATTATTAATATATAATTTCTATAATTTTTTAATATACAAATTACAAGATAAAATGGATTAAAGAAGTACATTGGATGGTGTGTCAAAAGGTAAGTGGACAAAGACAGTGGGACGGAGGGAGTATTAAGTAAATAATATTAAAAAAATTATTCGTGAATATCAATTTAGATTTGGAAATTAAGATTTGACTCAAATTACCTCTTATACGTTTCAAAATCCAAAAAATTAGAGAAAAAAACTAAACTAGGGTAAAAGATACTCCATATATAGATAATATACCAAAATAAGAATTTCTATTTTTACTTTCAAAATTGGAGTTATAGTACAAATACAATGTCAATCATGTCAATATATAATACTTAAACGTATTGTTAAATTTTAATATGCAATGTCATATTATCACAATACAAACTCATATTTTGAATGCAAAAATATAAGGCTTCCATTTTATATTTTTTCTATGTCCTACTCTTATTTATAGTGATTTCTTAAAAACAATTATAACTTGGTTAAATTTCTCTAATCCCAAAAATTTCAATTTACAAATACACACACTTTCACACATCTCCCTCTACCGGGACTCGAATCAACCACTCAAACTAGGGGAGAAATTCAAACCCAAAAGAAATCTAATTTTTTGAATAATACTCCGTATTTAAATAGTTCCAACAGAATATGAATGCCATCTTAGAAATGAAAGAAAAAATCTTACACACAATTAAAGATGCTTATTAAAAATGGATTAGATACATTTGGTCCGTTGGTGGTCGCCACTTTAAACCGATTTTCAACACCATTTCAAACTTTGATGGTTTCGTGCAAGTGGTTACATCGCCCTCCCCAAACCCACGTTCTAATCCCCTCCCCAAAATATACGCTTTATAATTGCAGAAGCTCTATACTTAATATATTGTCTCCCCGTGCAATTATTAAAAAATAAACTCTCCATTTACACATCTTATCTTACCAATTCCGCAACGCTCACCTAACACTAATTTCAAACTTAGATCAATGGTTGATCTCTCATCTCACTAACAAAAAACACCAGCTAAATAATGGTTAAAACACAAATGGTAATGTTGCACACAAGAATGTCACCAAAAATCTCAAACTTACTATTTATTTATCTTACTAAAAAAGATTTCAATTTACCATTTCTTTTAGAATGTACTATGATAAAATTTACATTTCCTTACTATAAGGGTCTGTTTGGTATAAGGAATTGACGGAATTAGAATTTAACTGGGAGTTCAAATTCTATAGAATTGATTTGGATGCAATTGAATTCTCCAATTTCAATTTATTTTTAGCACTACCAATTCCAAATCTACGTATTTTTGTGATACCAAATAGCAGAATTAAAATTGTTGTCCCCAATTCTATTGTTTGAATTCCCTGTACCAAACAAAGCCTAAGAAGAATTGGAACAAAATACGAAATTAGGCAAAATATAACCAATGATAGAGACGAGGCGCTGCTAGTCTTGAAGAACCCATTTACCTTATAGTGCAAAGCCAATTTGATAAGAGTTTTAAAATAGTGCATAGTGAGTAGCAGTGACATTGAAGGGGTGAGGGAGCATAAACACGAAATATACTTTAGCAACGGGCAAGAAGCGAGACTTGGAGACTAAGACTGGAGTCGAGATAAGTAGAGTTAATAAAACTGGAAAGAACTGTGACAATTGAAACGATAATACTCGATAAACAACTACCATTCGTTACCGATAATTGAAATTTAACACGAATAAGTTAAAGTGGACAGACAAAAATGAAAAGCCTCAACGGACTTACAGACGGTACAAGAAGTGGATTTAGTGATCAACAACCTCAGTCAACCACAAAGTTTCTTCAAGACAGCTTCAGCTCGCTGCTCGAATTTAGGCAACACCCATTCATGCTGTAGGATGTCTAGACTGTCTTTTTCAGCACCCAAACTCTGGTTTTAAAAAAAAACATAGAGAGAAACTATGATGATACCATCCAACCAGGAAAAGAACACACCCAGCTGCTGTATGAGTCTAGACTTAACAGGATTCCATACATATTTTATGCACACTTCTAAGAAACTCGGTATAAATTACTTGTTGGTATTCACATTTTTTTTTCAAACCAAATAATATGATTTGTTTCATTTCTAATCGAGCATATATGCATGTTAAACGAGTATCAAAATAAGAGAGCAAGGTGAGAGAACCAACCTTTGAGGGGTCAAAACCAAATCCACTCATTTGCATCATGCGTTGGGTGTCATCCATAGCTGAAACAGGCAATCATATCAATACACAACAAAATTACATTCAAACATAATCATCCAATCAGTAATAGAAAAGTTTTGTTTCGTATACAACATAGTAATAATTTTATGAAACCGAGAACTCTTAATGAACTGTGTTAACAAACTAACCGTTTTCTTCTCCAAGAATGAGACTAAACAAACCCCTCAACCCAAAGAGATTGAGGAAGTACCTGAGAGTGACTTAAACTCATCAAAGAGGGAAGTATTAATTAAAACATGAATAACTAAAAAAGAAGGAAAATAAGTGTAGTACCATGAACGACTACTAACATAACTAACGTCAACTGTGCTCAAATCTATCCCGTTTTGTAACATTGACCTGAACCTCTGGGTCAACGGAAAAGGAATTTTTGCTGCAAAAAAAATTGCATACCCACAATTATTATACGATAGCACCCTTGCCACTATAAAAAACAAAGAGGCTGTTTCTGTTAAAGCCTTGAATGCCTTGATGTATTGATGCATTTTTGCCCAAAACTTCATACTCCGTAGTTAAGAAGCAAAGGAAGCTTGATGGGCAATTTTCATTTGGTCCAATATTTACCAGAAGCTTGAACATTGTAAAAATGACTCTTTTATTATAACAAAGGCACAGATGACAAATTAAGATTACACAAATACAATAAGTATGTCATGAGATAACACACTTACCTGCTACAAATCCAGAGAAGAAGAAGTTAACCCAAGCAAAAGTAAGAGTCTGTCCAATAAAACTTGACCAAGTTAGATTCCGCCATAAACAAAGTTCTATCTGACAACAGGAATGATAAATGAAAATGCATTAAACAACACCTGAGGTATGATCATAGAGAGATTTTTCTTCATCATATCCATAGCCATGTTAGGATCCGAAAACATTTGTGCCTGTGCATTCTGAGCTTGGTCTTTAGGAACAAAAAGTAACCCATTTTCCTGCATTCAATGCCATTACAGTCGTTTCAGCAACAAAAAAACGATGTCATCATTGATGTAAGGGGATCTATTTGGATGGACATTTTTGGAGGGATTAGCAAATAATTTATCTGAAGTTATATAAAAATCAAAAGACTAACACAATCTCTCAAGTGAATCCCAACCTTCAAAGCAAATAAGCAATTCGGTCCATAGATTTGCATATCAAGCAAATAACTTCTAGAAAATTCCCAAACTACGACCGGGAGCAAGATAAATCGCAATCCGAGCATATAGAATAATAGAAAGAACCATTGAGCTAAAGTTTCAAACTTTGAACGAAATCCATACAGATCATAGACCACAAATCCAACCAATACATAAAAATCAAATACCTCGTTGCTATAATACAATCGTCGTGCTCTAAACGATTTAGCAGGAATAAAATTAGCGGCGGCTCTCAAATTCCTAGCCCTGATTATCACCTGCCTGGAATCATACTCAATAATTTAACAAAATCGTCATGGAAATGCATCGAGGGATAACACAGAGAAAAGATGGGGCGGACCCTTCTTTGATGATTTTAGCGTCGGGTAAGTGAGAAGATGAGCGCATGAGCTTGGAGACGAAGTATCGCAGGACGCCGATCAAAACCATAACCACCGATAACGGAATCAGTACCCAGTCTCTGATCGCCCTGTCCAACACCAAATCTTCCGCCATCTCTCTCTCTCTCTCTCTCTCTCTCTCTCTGGAGCAGGAAGAAGATGCTAACCGACGTCGTTCTTTTTCGCTCGAGGAGTTTCGGGTTGGGCTTCCAGTTATGAGCCCAATCCAACCTGCTCATTGTCTGTTCATTGGGTTGGAAAAATTAAATTTGATTTTTTTAATTTTTTTCAATTTCTTCTAATTTTTTTTCGCTTCTTCTAATAACATCTAAAAAAATATTTATATATGATGAATATATAATAACATCATATATCCAAGTACATAAAATATCACATCAAACATGGTTAAAGATGTATTCGTTTATATTCAAACTTATCTTTCTTACATTTTTATTTAGATGGTTATTTAATTGAGTCTATTTTTGAACATTTTATTTTTTTATAACATTTTCCAACTTCTTTCAATTTTTTTTAAACATTTTCTCATTTTTTTCAAATTCTTTCAATTTTTTATAATTTTTTCTCACTTCATTTATACAACTCAAACGAACAGTATCTTATAATTACTTCACATTCTATAAAACAAGTGAGTATATACTTATTTAATTGGTGCAATTTTTTTGGAGGATAGTTACATTAATCTAAGGAACATAAAAAGTGTGTCTCTAACTATTAAATTTACTTCCCAATTACAAATTGTGCCCTAATATAATTATTATCATCTTCATCTTATAAAGAGGTGTATAGTCATGGCCTAGCTATTTATAGTTTGTCCCAAAATTAATCAAGAGCTAAAATTTAAAAAAACAAGTCGATGGAAGGTGAAATTAACAACTTCATTATGGTATGGGTGATTGTGTTATGTTCTTTGTGTTATTGTCATATGATAAATGGCTTCTTTCCAAATTCCAGTTTCAAAAGATTTTTTGCTATCGTACCAATTGCATGCCTCTTCCTTGTCCTCCCTCCACTCACTCTCACTTCCTTGAACCTTGGAGGCACCTCCTCTTTCTTTATAGGATGGCTTGCTAGTTTCAAACTCATCCTTTTTGCCCTTGGCAAGGGTCCATTGTCTTCATCCCCTCCCCTTACCCTCTCCCGTTTTGTCCCTTTGGCTTGCTTCCCGATAAAGTTCCTAACCCCTGACCACGAAAAGTCATCATTCTCAGCTCAAAGACGACAATTGGCTACGATTATCACAAGTGATAGTGTGTGGCACTGGTCAACAAAAATAGGTCATCTCATGAAGCTATTATTACTTGGTTTCTTCGTCTGTGTGTACAAGTACAAGCAATGCCTCCACCCGAAAATCGTCTTCTTGCTTTACACGCTCCGTATCTACTTCACGCTCGAGCTCTGGCTCGTCCTGGTTAGCGCGGCAGTTCAATTCGTGTTTCGGATCAGGCTGGAGTTCGAGCAACCTTTTAATGATCCACACTTAGCCACCTCCCTCCAAGACTTTTGGGGCAAGAGGTGGAACCTGATCGTCACCAACATCCTTCGCCCCACGGTGTACGAGCCCATACTCTCGATGTCGGTTCAATACATGCAACCACGGCTCGCCAGGTGTCTTGCCGTGATGGCGACGTTCCTGGTTTCCGGGGTCATGCACGAGCTCGTGTTTTACACCATTGGGAGGGCGAAACCGACGGGGGAAGTCTTGTCGTTCTTCGTCCTCAACAGGGCGTGTTTGATTTTGGAGATGGGGATCAAGAGAAGCATCAACCGTAAGTATTGGTTGCCACAAATTGTGTCACGCCCACTTGCTCTCACGTTTGTGATTCTTACGTGTTTTTGGTTGTTTTTACCTCCTTTTTTGAGGAACAAGGCCGATGTCAAAGGATGCACCGAAGCCATGGCTTTCATTGAGTTTGTTAAGCATCGTAGACTTGTTAGTCCAAATTTTATCACTTGTCCATTATATGCATGATATATATATACATATTCTTTTTTGTAACCCTTTTTAGTTTTTTCCTTAGATGTTAAAACCATTCACCTTTTTATGACTAAAGTGTTTTTTTTACAATATTTACTTTCAAATTATTCAAAAATTGTGAGGATTTTTCTCTAAATTTAAAAAATCGTATCAATCATCTCTCAATTTTTAAAGTTGGTGTATCAATGGTACATTTGGACCAGATTTGGGAATCTAATGCAAAGAGACCATTGATGCAACATGCAACGTTTTAAAAAAATGACGCAGTATCCAATTTTTTTCCGTACACTATATACGTGTCAAACTAAGTTATAAGATAATTTGAAAATGAAGCGATTATATTAAAAAAAATATTCAAACAACATACCCCATCAATATGATTATATTTAAAAACAACAACCCAGACAATAACGATTACAATAACTAGAGTAATATATATAATATAATAGTACGAGTAATTAGACTTCTCCCAACATGCTTAGGCAAATGAAATTATTGGGTATTTGGAGACATCATATGATCTCCATACATATCACTGGAAGATAAAAATACCAATACCAAAATATATATATATATATATATATATATATATATATATATATATATATATATATATATATATATATATATATATATATATATATATATATATATATATATATTAGTTTGTACCGCTGTTTAATCCTCACCTAATAATAATAACTCAGAATGGGAAGAAGCACGAGCCCAACTGCCAACAGATTGAAAAGCCCAACTAAACTGATTGGAGCACAGCCCGCTGTAGGCCCAGCTGCTGCGTCCACAAACTCAGTTTTAACCCATTTCTGTTTCCCAACCATCATATTAAATGAAAGTCCACTTTCCCATCCGTTCCCTGATGGACTTTGAGAGGAAACAGGCCCATATCCAACGGAGTACGGGCTTTGTGCCAAACCAGGTGAGGGTGCATTGGCGAAGCCCACTGACGGCCCATGGGCCAGTTGGGCGTCCCGAGGCAGGACATTAACGGGGAGTTTGAGCCCATTTTTGCAGTGGTCCATGTTGCCGCTTGCGAAGTACCTGATTCCCTCTCCGTCTAGGGAGATCTTGTTGAGGCCGTCCGTATACATTTTGATTGGGTTTGTGAGATCGCACGACTCGTATTCTTCCCAGCTCCCCACCTCCACGATGTTATCTTGCGCCGCCGAGTACGTGAACCCTGCCCATCATAGATTGGTTATTCTCCATGTTTTTATGATTTTCAATGCCTTGAGTTTCACTAATTTTAACAAAACTCTAAAATATTACTCCCTCCGTCCCAATGTAAATCGCCCGTTTTGATTTTTGACATATTTAAGGAAAATAAAAAATAAAGTTGATTTTTTGAAATTGACATTACATTTTAAGAGTGATGATGATGAATGAGAAGATAATGCGAAAAAGAGTGACATATTTTAGGAATAGTTTAGGTATTTTATTTTTAAAAGTTTGCGAAAACAACTAACATGCAATTTATTTTGGGATGGAGAAAAAAAAGGCAAACAGGCAATTTAAAATGGGACGGAGGGAGTAAAAAGTGAGAAAGAAATTTCATACTCCCTCCTTCCGAAAATAGATTTTAATATTCCCTCACATTTTTGTCTCAAAAGGATTACGAATTCAATAACTTTATAGTGATTTGACTCTTTTACCCTCCTCTTTTCTGCCAGCTACTATTCACACTATTTGGGGGGTAATTTGGGGAAAAAAAATTTGATTTGGCTCTTCCTTAATTTCAACTAAAAGGCAATATTGTAATCTAAAGTGTGATAAAGGAAGTATCAGATATAATCCTTATTCATAGATAAATTATTGTTTTTAAGGTAAATTTTCCCGTGGATTTAAGGTCCAAGCTCGTGTTATGAATCTAGGTGCATTGATATCGTAAAAGAATTATGAATTTTATAAAAATGAAAAGATTCACTTGTCAGCCTATAAAAATGTAAGAAGATTCATATTTTTTATGAAGATTTAGGACCATGAAAGAACAACTCTATCTTTAAATAATTGATTCGACGGAATAAAAATATATATTGTAATTAGTTTGATCAGTTAATCAAATATTAAGATTTTTATTTTGTAACGTGCATTTATAAAAGCAAATAAAATAAACGAACTAAAAATTGATACACGAGATACACTACCTCTATGTAAATAATAAAAACAAATACCAGTATGAAACATTTTTTTTTTTTGAATTGTAAGAAAAAAAGAATAATACAAATACTTTTTTAAAAAAGCAAAATAAGATATTTATTAAAATAGAACATCAACTTGTAATACTGAATATAAAAAGTAGAGTTGATGTATTTAAATCTTTTAGGTTGAATATGATTGTTAAGTCTAATCACTTTGTATTTAAATTATTTTGAGTTTGGACAGAACCAGATCAAAACTCAAATGCCTTTTTTTGTTTTACCGAAGACCAACTCGAAATCTATTCGTTTCGTACTTAAGAGTTCCATTAAGTCAAGTTTTTTTTCAATTTGGACATAAGCTTGAACAGTCTTAATAGTATTCTGTTTATCCCGCCTTTAATATGTCATCACAACTCATCACGGGCCTCCACACCCATCAAACTTAGAGTGAGGAGACACATGGTTCCAATTAAAATATGGTATCTAAGGATGTGTTTCGTTCATGTGAACTTATCGAATCTGTTTGTTTGAAGATCTAGATTGATTTAATTTGATTGGATCTGATCTGATCCAATTAAGTTTGATATGATCTAATTTGATCTAATTGGATCTGATTTCATTAGATTTGATCAGGTTTAATCTGGTTTTAATAAGATAAGTAACAGCTGAAAAAGGTTGGACGGAACGTACTCTACACACGACATATTATCCAAAATTTGAGCAAAGCATACTCATTATCCTTAAAATAGAAATAATATATTTTTATTTTCAAATGCTATAATGTAATATTGTACAGAGTATATTAACATTTTATAGTGTATTTAGTATTACTCCGTATATGTTACTCCCTATGTACCAAATAAATCCTCTTGAGTTTTTTTTTCTTTTGATTTGTCTTAAATTAATCTTTTTTTTTTGAAAAACATTTTGTGTTTTACCTTTTTCTATGTTTTTTGTATGATTTTCAACTACATAATTTTACTTTTCTTATACTTTTTACAAAATCAAATTAAGAGAATTAATTTTGGGGCGGGATATTATTTATTATATATTCTATTTTGCAAATAAAAAAGTTTGAAAACATTAAAAATTTTATTTAATTTTTTCTTTAAGTTTTATTATTCTTAATTATTTTCCGTTAAGAAGGCTCAATTTAATACTTGAATGTACTTACAAAGAACATCACCAACTCTAAAGATTCTGGGAGATGAAGACCAATACTGATTAATTTGATCAATGAAATTTGAGGTCTCCCAGCCTCTGTCTCCGCCTACCACATAGTGATGTCGTTCTTCAGATTCAGCCGCCGCCACCGTCACCGCCGCCACCATTAGAAACACTGCCACTGCTGCAAGAGCTCCATTGTTGTTTTTGTTTCTCTTGTTACACCCCATTTCCATTCTCTGGCTTTGCAACCAATAAAAGAGCCAAGAGGGTCTTATATATATATATATATATATATATATACCCTCTCCCACAAAAAAAAATAAAGTTTACATTTTCATCGTGGCGGATCCAGAAATTCAGATAGATGGGGGCACAATTGGTTAGGGCAGCAATCCTGCTTTTTTTTTAAAAAAAAGTAGACAATTTGAAATGAAAAAATAATGAATTTATTTTAAACATTTATTGAATGTAAAATTTTATTTAATCGGTAATGTAAAATTTTATTTTAAACAATAAATTAAATGCAATAAGATACACTTACTTCAATAAGATTAAACAAAAAATTAAAAATTAGTTTAATTAAATAAGGTTCCATTCATTTTTGTAGGGAGCAAATAAGTTGAGATGGAGTCAATCCAAAGTATAATAATTTTTTGTTTGAAAAAAAAAAATTAGTTTAACACCAAAATTTAGTTGGGGGCATTGGCCCCCAATTATTTCCGAGTAGATCTGCCCCTGCATTCTCACTTACCAAAATTTAAAAAAAAGGATAGAAAATAATGTTTGTTACCGGTAAAACTAAAATATACTTCATAATAAGCTTTTTATGGGTCAGTACAACAAACTTGAAAGTTTGATTTAATTTATTCTTGAATAAATTTTATGTATCGTAACTAAACTTTTAGATATTTTTCATTTAAGTACCTAAACTAAATTTTCTTTCAAAAAAATACCTGAATTTTTAAAATCTTTCACAAATGGAACCTAAACTAAGTTTTCTTCCATTTGTTCCCATTTTTTTTATCTTCTTTTCCCCTCCCACTCCATTCTTTCTCTTCTTTTTCACCCTTTTTTTCTTCTTCTTCATTAAACCCTTTACTCATAACAACTCACCCCACCCTTCTAGTTTAACCCCACCCCCATTCTTGAGTCCCCTCTTTTTTTTGTGTTTAATTTTAACTTCCTTTTAAGTATTTTGTACTTTCAAATTTTTTGTTGAATACATTTTTTTAAATTTTTTAAATTTTTTATATATGTCTTTTTAGTTTTTTTGTTTTAGGTGTTTTTAATTTGTAAATTTTTTTGTTTGTTTTTTTCCATTCTTTTTCTTGATGTTTTAATACTATTTGTTTGTTTGTTTACGATTTTTTTTACTAATTTTTTGGTTAGTTTTTCTATCTTTTTGTCAACAAATGTCTAATTTTTTGTTTTTTTTTTGTTTTATTTTTTTTGAATTTTTTTATGTTTTAAATTTTTATTGTAAACAATTACACCAAATAAGTGAATTAAATAAGCCCTAAATAAATAACTAAAAAATGAACTTTCTATAAAAATATACTTCATCCTTCCCTTAAAACATTTTAACGTTCACTTCTTATACATCACATAAAATATTTTAATTTTACTTTGTTAGAATATAAGTGAATGTTCCTGGGCCACAACCAAAAGCTTGAGCTTTTGGTTCAGTGGGTTCCTTTACATCGTGTCAGAACCTTGTTGACTAAGAGGTCACGGATTCCAAACTCAGCATCACCCAGTTTTAAGAAAAATAAAGTTCACGTGCAAGGCTCGAAAAAGACTACGCCTGCAAGTGAATATAAATAACTCTTCTTGTGCCACAACCACAAGCTTGAGCTTTTGGTTGAGTTGGTTCTTTGACATATTTAAATGAACAAAATTATCCTTATTTTTCTTAAATCTAACCAAACTCACCCCAATTATCTTCTACGATTTATTTATTTTGACATTTTTTGAGTCCAACTTGTTGTAATTATCATCGTTTCATCTTTGTCGATTTTTAATATCTTTCCCTCCCAAAATACAAAACTAGAAAATGTTTTCCGGATGGAGTGAGTATCATATTAGTATAAATTAAATTGAGAAAACAAATGAGGATGGATGAAGTGCAGAGTATATATTTTACGGGATATGCTAGGGGAACACCAAAGGTGTACCCCAAATGTACATCATCCATATTCTTTACTATCCATTTTATTTTGTTTTTAATTTTTATTTTATTTTCTTGAATTTTTCTTGCTTTTTTTTGTGGTGATTGCGGGGGTGGGGATGTTTGGGGTACACCAAGGTGTACCCCTAGCATTTTCCATATTTTACCTGTTTGACAACATGTTTGGCATTTTGAAAAAAAACTATTTTTCTATCCTCTTGCATATTTACTATTCACGTGGTCAATCATTAACGATGTTCTTGATCAATTTCGTGACCATTTGTAAGAACTGGTATATTTTTGTCTCCTTTTGTTGTATAGAATTTTTGATTTACTTTTAAAAATATAAATTTTATTTTTTATTTTCTTACCAATTTTCAAATAAAATGAAATGAAAATAACTTTAGTCAAACCTCGTAAACGACAGCAACAAACGGCTCTTTTTGGGATGATGGGAGTATTTTTTAGCAAATGGCATCATTTAACTTTTTTTTAAAAAAATATACTCTACATCGTTAAAAAATACTCTTCCACCAAAAGTTATTTACACTCCACCATTCAAAAATTACGAAATTTTGTTTATTTGAACATTTTAATTGATTATTTTATACAGAATAAAATATGGAGTAATATTTTTATTATTTCTTATTTTGTGTATTTTTGACATAATATTTAGATATATAAGTTTTATTTCTATATCATTTATTAAACAAAATAAATTGAAAAAATTTATAATTTTATTTCATTTTATGCAAAGCGTAAAATATTTTTGGAATGATAAAATATTTAATTTGGGAGTGGTTATACGCTGTCCTATTTTATGGTGAATGGATGAAATTATGAAAATGCCATTTACCTAATTCCACCAAACCAACTGTACGCGTGAACCTCGCATTCCCCCCGCGGTAAACATCTTTTCTACAGCAGTTGAATTTCACAAAATAAATTTTACATTGCGCGTTATGATGTTTGACCGAAGTTATTTTCAAATCATTTTATATGAAAAATGGTGTAGAATTGATAAATAAATATTACTCCGTACATATTAAAACACCTTATCAAATTAAAAGATCTATAAAACTAGAGGTGACCTAAATATATTACTTCATATTATATCAAATGAGTGACGAAAAATATGCCAATAAGGTGAATAAAGTTTGACCATATGAATAATGAACGTAAAGTCTATTTGTGAACGGAAGGAGTACATAAAATTAAAATATAATACGCATGCCGCAATTAGAATAAATGAACAATTTATAAAAAAGAAAAACTGTCAACCTATTATACTTCTTTTGCTCCCAATTTCGATTACAATTTTTTTCACTCATCTCTCGATAATTTTTTTTATTTGTATGTTTTCATTGATTATTTGATAAAATAAAATATTTTTGTCACATCTTACTTTGTTTTTTGATGTAGTTTTTTAAACACTTTATTATTATTTAATGCAACAATTTGTAAATAAAATTATCAGGGTCACCCATCCTAAGATTGCTCCAGGTCAAACACGCTTCACTTTGGAGTTTCTAGGTGGTGAGCTCTCGAAAAGAAGATGCATCTTTTTTGTATGAGTACTACTATCAATTCTTTTGAGCTCTTTCTATTCCTATCTTAATACAGGATATTACACAGAGAGAGAGATCGTAGGCGAAGATGGAACCGCCATCCACGATCAGATTCCCTGGCGGGCACCGTTGCGTGTTTCGTTCAGAGAAGAAGGAGAAGTGGCAGTCGAAAATAAGGAGATGGAGACCTTCTAACGTGTGAAGGTAACGTATATACTCCCTCCGTCCCTAAATAAACTTCCATTTTTGACTTTTTGAGGATTTAAGGGATGGATATTTTTGTATTGACTTTCCAAAAATACCCTTGATGTGATGTATAAAAGTAAGATGTGATAGGTAGATTATTAGTAAAAAGGTATGATGTGATAGGTAGGGTATGAAAAAGTAAGGGGTAAAAGGGGTTTTTAAGAGAAAAGAGAACTTTATTTAGGGAAAAAGAAAAAAAGGAAAGAGGAAGTTTATTTAGGGACGGAGGGAGTATATGCCTAGGATTTTGGAATCCGTTATAAAAATGGTGTGTCTGAGTAGTACATACTTTGTGGGTAAACTGGCCCTGAATTGAGATCTGTTTGTGTCCTTAGATTCGATTCGTCTGTATCTACCCAACAGTATGACTTTTATGATCAATCAACAAGTATTTCTAATTTACACATGGCCTGTCTTAATTTTTTTGATTAATTAATATTGATCAATTATTTAATCTAAATATTTCCGATTACCACCAGATTAGTAGTCACGTGTTATTTTGGGACGATCAAAATCTCCAAAGTGTGTTGTAATTCTTTGAAAGAAAGAATGTCATAAATAAATAATTTTTATTTATTTAATTAGTGAATAACTTCTAGACCATTTTTTAGGGCGTTACAACGCAATTCTCTATCATTGAAATTTATTCCACATACAATCCTTCGTAAATAATGTTACTAAAATGATGATTAATTCAAATGTATATTGATATTTCTTATCAGCTAAATTTAGAATAAGTTTTGAAAATGATCATTTCTAACATATTACTTTTCAAGATAGTTAAGATTTAATTATTTCTATTATAACTTGACATATGGTAAATTTTAGATCCACTACAGAATTTGTCTTATTTCAAAATGTAATTTTCATTTTTGGTCCAAGCAAAGGCCCAAATATGACACCCTATATTTCGTCCAGGTCCAATTAAAAAACCTTCAAAATGTCCAGCTTGAACGGATAACCCGGCCCATATTGATCTATCGAATTGTTTTCAAACTTCGGTTCAATGAACGTAGACAGTATATAAGTTCATTGAACTTAGACCACGCAGTTCATATTTACTGACAGAACTAAGGTAGCATGTCATGCACGTCGAGAATAGAGTAATAAAATCGGCTTCTATTCTCCGCACGCAGTCCTCACAAAATATGCACTGCTGGAGTTGGAGTCAATGACCTCAATGTGATAGTTTGATTTTTTTGAACTAAATAAAATAAAAGTTCGGAATTATATTCCAAGTACAAAAGATTACTTTAAATGGTTGTCGTTTGTCAAGAATTGAATTTTCTGTCCTAGAAGACAAATTCTAATTAAGCATATGTTTTTTTTATTTTTAACGACAATCTAAAACCACGTAAAAATAAGTGAAAAGAATTTATTAGATGTGAAATTTGTATTAAATAGGACTAAAACATACTCCCTCCGTCCCCCTAAGATGTTCTCATTTTGACTTTTGGTAGGTTTTTAAGGAGAATTGAAAAAAGGTGAAAGTTTACCATAATACCCTTAATGAAATATGGGTGGAGTGTATTAAATAAGGTGGGTGAGGTGTAATAAATAAAATAAGTGGGGGTAGTTATGGTATTTTAATTGTTAAAAAATGAAATGAGAAGATCTATTGTGGACAAAGAAAAATGGCTATTAAAAAGATCTATGGGGAACGGAGAGAGTAAATCATTTCACAATGTAGGATTTAAATTTTTTTATTCCCTAAATAGTACTTAATATTGTCTGGTAAAAGAAATAATGTCCCGTGATGGTGGACATTTACTCGAATAATGACTAATGAATAATGACTAATTATCATTCATAAGAAAATAAAAATATATGGTCCCATATTGAAAAAGTCATTATGTTTTAGTCCTATTTAAGGAAATTCTCGAAAGTAAAATTTGCACGGAATAAGACTAAAACATAATAATTTTCCCAATGTAGGACTTAAATTTTTTTATTCTTTAAATATGACTTAATAATAACCTAGTGGGAAGAATAATTAATATCCAGTAATGATAGAAATTTACTTGAATAATGACTACTTTCTAATGACCAAAAGTCATACATTGAGAAATAAAAACATATAGTTCTATATTAGAAAAGTCGTTATATTTTAATCCTATTTAGGTAAATTTCTCGAGAAATTAGAGGTAGAACAAGACAAAACACACAATTACTACATGGAGTTGAGAAAATAAGTGAACAAAATCGCGAAAACCCGGTGAAATCACTGAAAACGATGTACTTGGTCGTATATCCAGTCTAGGTTCAATCCGTACATGAAATCTCACTCCTATGCCATCCCGATTCCGCACACATAAAACATAAGGAGTAAAGTATAAATATGTGGCACGTACATGATTACATTTTCATTCAACATAATGTCCTCATTTTTAATTTTCCCAGAAAAACTCCATTAATGCTTAATACGGAGTATACTCTATTAATCTAAGTGTCGCCATTTTGTTAACACTATCCTTCTAAGGTAAGCTTTGGTATCAAAATATAAGTACATACCCACACCCTCTTTTTTATCATGGCGGCGAATATGGTTCCGGCGAGATTCAAGAGGGTGGCAGACGCCTTCGACGAGGCGGCGCTTACCCTCAGGACGCGGCCGCCTTGCGGCAGCAGCGGCAGCGAGCACTCCGCCGACCCCGAGAGCCTGACGGACTTGTCCCGCCTCGTCAACTCTTTCATCGAGAGCGATGACGGGACGTGGGAGGGGCCCGCCGAGTGGGCCGTGGAAGACGTCGATGATGATGACGGCCGGGTCGGCGACAACCGGCAACAGGAGGAGGAGAATTGCTGCGACGACGTTGCTGAAGCTAGGGATTCTTTGCAGCGCCTGCTGAGCTCCGGCGAGGATGATGTCACCAAGAGAAGTCTGCTTGAGGCGGTGGAAAGAGCTCGCCGGGAATTGGGGGATGGTTCGTATAATTCGCCGGATTTTAAACGCCGGTTGATGGGTCGGTTGCGAAATCAGGGCTTCGATGCCGGTAAGCAAATCTAATCCCGAGTATTCAAATAAATAAAAATTACTCATCATACAACTTTTGTCCCAAAAAAACATTTTTTAAAGATGTTTGAGTTCATCTTAAGAAAATTTTTTGATATAATTTATCTAAATAGAAATAAAAGATAATGAATTTCTTAAGTCCTATTTACAGAATAAAAAAAATTAAGTCCTACATTGGGAAATGATTTATGCTTTAGTCCTATTTAATGTAAATTTTTCCATTAATTTGTTCAAATTATGTTTAATGAAATACGAATTTGAAAGCTCTTAATAAGATAAATATAATGAAATCATTTTTTATGCTAAAGTTGATTATATTTTTTGTTTAATTCAAACACAAAAGTAATCGAGTAGGACTCAGGAATCCCAAACAAAACAAATGCACTGAGAAATATAGCGAAACGTGTCGGATTTTTTGGGACGGAGAGAGTATTTTTATTCATATATATTCATGCAGGGTTGTGCAAAACGAGGTGGGAGAAAAGGGAGAGTTGCCCGCGCGGGGAATACGAGTACATAGACGTGAACGCCGCCAACGGGGAGCGGTACATAGTGGAGTTCAACCTGAGGGGGGAGCTGGCGGAGACGGCGCGGCCGACGGCGGGGTACAGGTCGCTGGCGGCGATGTTCGGCGAGGCGGGGGCGGCGTACGTGGGGAGGGCGGAGGAGTTGAAGAAGATAGTGAGGGTAATGAGCCACGAGATGAAGAGGTCGATGAAGAGCGCGGGCATGCACGTTCCCCCGTGGAGGCGGAGCGCTTACGTGCAGGCCAAGTGGTTTAGTTCCTACAAGCGGACGACGAATGACGTTCGCACTGCTCGTGATGACGTCCCTTTTTCTTCTGCTTCGTGTTCGTCGAGGTGGGCGCAAAAGCAGAGGAGATGGGTTGGGTTTGACCTTGCTAGGCCAGCAGCCGAAATTGCATTCAATGAGAGAATGGTTTGAGAGAAATGGATAGATGGATGAATGAAGCTAGAGAGGGAGGGAATTGAATTATTCAAATGGCTGTATGCTGCTGATTTGAGCGGTCTAGTGGGTAAGTAGGTACATTTTGAGATTTGTTTTTTGGTTTATGCATTATTTGAATTGTGTATGTATGTGTAGTGGATATATTATACTCCCTCCGTTCCACAAAACCCTTCCTCTTTCGTTTTTTTTGCTTTCCACAAAACACTTCTATTTTCTATTAAAAAAACCACTTTTACCCCTACTTTTTTCATACCCTACCTATCACATCATATTTCACTAATAACAAAACTATCACATCTTACTTTTTCCCATCACATCAGGGACAAAATTGGAAAGTCAACCAAAATTACACTTTCTTTATTTTTGCCAAAAGTCAAAACTGGAAGTGTTTAAAGGAACGGAGGGAGTAGAAGTAGAATATTGAAAATTGTTTGCCAATATTTATGGGTATTGATAGGGTGGGTCGGTCTCGAAGATTTGGTGGTCCTTGACGAGATTGAAAAATGGGCCGTCTGGGGCCGTTATAAATTAAATTGTACTCCCTCCGTCCCGTGAAATATGTGAGTTTTGTTTTTTAGCAGGGATTTAAGGAGAATGTATTTTGGTATTGAAAGTATGATTTGATGGATAGATTATTAGTAAAAAAGTATGATGTGATAGGTAGGGTATGAAAAAGTAAAGGGTAAAAGTGACTTTTTAATAGAAATAAGAAGTGTTTTGTGGGACGGATAAAAAAAGAAAGGGAAAAAGTTTTATGGGACGGAGGAAGTACTAATTACTAATAATTAATTTTATTCTTCGTTCAAGCCTAAAAGCCTAAAAGGTCATGTACTTAATTAGCATAGTTGCCCTTAGTGTAGATGACATGAATCAAACTCAGTTAAACTTGAACGTAACACCCCTACCTTGTAGTCTTGCTAATTGTGCGACGCCCACCGGCGTACGTATCAAACCTCCATTTATGCATAGACAGTGAGGAATCGGTCAGAAAGTGAAAAGAATAAATGAATTGGGGTTTTGAGCTTTGATCAATGACTGTATATATGTAATAGTGCAATGGAGACTCCTCAATCCTCATATTGAATCTCCACCAGAATCTTGGTGCAAAAGTTAGTTATAAAGCATATATCATCCATGATCCATCTATGCCCTTTAATTTTTTGTGTGTGGTTATTTTAGTTTGAATTGTTTTGATCGAGTATTTTATATAATTAAGTTTATTTGGATTAAATGAAAGTTTTAGTAAATTTTGTTTTTTAGTTTGAAAGTGTGGAGTACAACTCATACAGTGATATTTAAAATTTACAAAAAAGTTTGAGGTAACACGGTTCATTAGTGTATCAGAGGGATGAAGAAAGATCCGGAACTTTGTGGTTCACAAAAGAGTACGGAGTATATTTAAGGGACAAATATTTAATAAAAATTAGGGAAGCTAATTTTTGTAATTGTCTCGATGATTCATTCAAAGTTTGAACTGATTTTTTTTTTTGGTAAATGAACATTATGATGTAGCTGTTGAAGGTTCCTTTGTTGGCCAACAATAACAATTACTTAGATTGATTAAAAGAAAATTCATTGTCACGTACCACTATCATATAGGGTTTGCTAGGTGTTAATCAGAAGGTATACACCAGACTTTTCACAAACAAACAAAGATATCAATTGTCTATGTAAAACACAAAGAGTTAGTGTTTATGTATGTTTGTGAGAAGCTTGGTGTACACTTGATATGAGTGTGGGATACCTAGATTTTCTCCTATCATATACTTCGTATAAATGCTCAAAAAAAGTTTCTCAACCATGCTAGGAGTTCACCACTAAGAAATATACCCCAAAACGTTATAATAGCATTTTAACGATTCACATTAAAACAAAATACCAGTTTAATATATGCATTCGGAATATAAAATGAAGTACACTTTTTGTATAGACATAATTTAATTCAAAACTCTTACCTATACTACGACTTCCGAAACAATCCCTTCACCATTAAGTTTCAGTATTTGTGGTATTGGGCCCGATGATCCTACTCCGTAAAATATTAGTGGGCCCATTAGTAATCCACTAATCCCTTTAAATTACTTCCTTCTTTTCTAAGAAAAAAAATGAGCTCCATCAATGAGGGTCTATTTGATTTGACCAGACGGTTAGTGATAAAAGATAAATTAGACTTTAATCGTAGATTGGTGACAAAGAATAGAGCCTACACCTGGTACTAGCAGAGGCGCTATGCTTAGCATAGTTATCTCCCAGCGCAGTTGTCAGGAATCGAACTCGGGTCTTACCCCCTTAACACTCCTTCCGATATCTTGCCAACTGCGCAATACCCACAGGCTTCTTTGTTTTTTAAGAATGATAGATCCCGGAAGGCTCCCACATATCAGAGAAAGTAAATTCAACTATAAATTAAAACTATACCGCTAAGTGCTCAAAGAACGAGTACGCGTGGAAAATATTCTTTGTTCCAAAGTGATTTATTTATTTACTAGTATTATAATGTCTCAAAAAAACTTTTTGATTTGTAAAACTTGTAATATACTTCGTAGTTTTTAAATATGGAGTAAATGTTCTTTTTTATACTAAATTGTAAATAAAATGAATTCAAAATTCATAGAGTTTTGTACATTGTTTGAACATGAAACTTCTTTAAACAACTGAGGGTATAGGAAGTGTATACAATGCCGCCATGCCGGTAGTGCTCTTAGAATGTTTAAAGAAAATATTGGGTTAGAACAAGTTCAAAAGTGAGAACAATAGTAAGGAACACATAAAATTTCACAACAATAGAATGTGGTGAGATTAATTTCCTCAGAGAATGAGAGATCCAACAATGAAATTTGCATTCTTTCTTCCGATCGGCCCGAGACAATGAATTTTATTTCTATGGTGTAATAAACGGGGTTGGGTGTGGATTCATGTCAGGCCAGGTTTGAGGTTAACCCGAGTGGGGAGGGAGGTTAGAAGCATTGATTTTTCGAATAGTACATCGTATATAGATCTTGGGTTATCTTATAATATTGATTTCCGATGTCATGAGAATTGAGGTAAAAATTTAATTTTAAAAAACTCAAATTTAGACTATTTGACGGAGGTACTTTTTGGAACAATGGATGTTAAAGTTAAAAGTGAAATTTGCACTGAATATAACTAAAACATAAGTCATTTTCCAATGTAAGACTTAAATTTTTTTATTTCCTAAATAGGACTTAATAATGACAGAAGAATAATGTCTAAGTGATGCTAGACTTTTAATTGAATAATGACTACTCCGGGGTAATAGATAATGACCAATGGTCTTATATTGAAAAATAAAAACATATAATCCTATTTTGAGAAAGTCATTATGTTTTAATCTCATTTAAATAAAATTACCCAAGTTAAAAAGGATAGAATCAATTTGAGGTTATCCTTAAATCTTAGATGAGTAAAAGGATGTTGAAGCATTGATGGTAGAGGTGTAAACATGGACTGCGTCACAGGGAAAAACTTCCCCCAAACATTTAACCCCAAACTACCCCAAAAGAATGAATATTGTCACCTACTTCACTGTTCCACGGTTCCACCACTCTCTCTTCCCCACCTTATCACTTTCAATCATACCAAAAAAAAATTCGAATTCTCTCTTTTTCCCATATCACTCCACCAAGTTATATTCCCCCCCTTCAAGATTTGATCATCCGCCATGAAGAAGCTTTACAGAAAAAGCACTGTTCACCCAACTCCAGCTCCTCCTCCTCCGCCGTCACTTTCAACCCGGCTCGCTTTCCTGCCGGCGGCGATCTTGGCCCTCCTAGCCTCCTTGTCCGAGGAGGACAAACAAGTCCTGTCTTATTTCCTGTTTTGCCCTTCTGCAACCCTCTCCACCCCCCACGCCTTTATGAAGGGCCGCGGCGGTGGCGGAGGCGCTGCTGACCACCACCCGCCGTCCCCCAGCTGCTACTGCTTCAACTGCTACCGGAGTTTCTGGGCGAGATGGGATTCTTCTCCGGACCGCCGGATCATAGACGAGATTGTGGAAGCTTACGAGGACGGGTTACAGAGGAAGAAGGAGAAGAACAGGAAGAAGGAAACAAGGAAAATTGGTAAAGGGCCGGCGGTGGGTTTGAAGAGTAAGGATGATTCCGGCGAATCCGGCGCTGTGCCGGAGATGCCCGGCGATTCTGGTGGCGGAGGAGATGGCGGAGCCGCCGAGAGAGGATCGGTGAGGAGATTTGTGGGTTTTCTTGGAGAGAAGATTTGGAGTGTTTGGACTTGATGAAGCCATGAAAACTCTATATATTTTTTTCTTCTCATTTTGACCATTTCATCCTCTCTTTGCAATGGCAGCTTCTGCATTTCTTTGCCACAATCTGTGAATTGATCTGTTTAGTTATTTTAGTTTCTCATCAAACTCCACACACACACAGTGTGTGCGCGTGTGTTTATATGTATATATACTGTATATATATGTTCATATTGTATATTACCTGAACTCATCTTGCTTAGCTTGCTTGCTCTGTTTCATACTCTCTTTTGTAATGTGCTTATCTACCTTCAAAATGAAGATGAAGTTTAGATTATAGTTTTTGGTATATTTCGGATTAAAGTTTTTATTTTTCAAGCAAGATTATGGGATTCATAAAATTTTTCATTTTTTTCTGAACAAATGTTTATAAGTCATGGTTCTAGTGACATTAAGATCAAGTGTCACTAAAACCACCATATTTATAAGATTTGAAAAGTTGCTGAAGTTAGATTTTAAACATATATCTTGATTTGCCCATTTCATCTCATATACATATTGAGACTTGGACCTTAGCGTTCAGACAAAGGAAGAGTCCTTACCAATAATATAGTGCATGTCTTTTAAAAAAACACTAACGTTAAATGCTGTTCATAGATAACCTTTTCGAAACGCTAATCTCTAATGAAATATTTGCAATAAATAGCATTAAAACTCCAGTCATTTCTCTAAATAGCACTTAAATTGTTTTATTCCCTAAATAACACTTAATAATGTCCATAATGTCCAGTGATGACCAATATTTACTTGAATAATGACTAATGGATAATGACTAAAAGTGCTACACTGGGGAAAAAAACACATGTGATGCTATTTAGAAAAAATCATTATGTTTTAATGCTATTTACGTAAATTCCCTAATCGCTAATATTATTTCTAAAGAGGCTAACTTGTACTCCGTATGTGTTTAGACAAAGTAAAAGTCCTTACCATAATTGACATGAAACTCTAAAAGGTGTGGTTTTGGTTGTGGAAATTATCTCTTTGAATCTGCTTGAAAATGTATCTGCTTGAAACTGTGGGTCAAAATTGCTGGCCATATGGACTACCGAGAATTCCGGATGTTTTCTTGGGACGAATTTTCAAATTTAGACTGGAAAGTTAAAAGTGAAACTTTTAGAGTGAACCGATTCAAAACTGGGATGGGCTTCCAATTCTTTTTATTTTCTTTGTATTCTTTTAGACCTGTGCAAATAAGGGTCGGTCCGTCCGGCCCGCCCAGCCCGCTCTTTAAAAAAGATGGATATGGGCATGCTTTAATACCCATATGGGCGGGTCGGCCCGAGCCCGAATTGTATCTGGGCGGATATGGAACCTACATTTAGCCCGTCCGGGCCAGCAGGCCCTGCCCATATTTATCAATTACATTTACTATATGAATTACCTAGTCCATTTACAATGATAAGTTCTCACTCATCCCTCTCTACAAAAAATAGCCCAAATTATCTTAGCTCATGCTTAATGAATTTAGCCCAAATTATTTAACCATAAAATCATAAATAAATAAGTAATAAAGGAAATAAAAGACGTGGAGTTGTGAGTTGCTGGAAGCGGCAATTAGCTTCTGGAATTGGGAGCCGCTGCATCAAGAAGAGCAAGAGACCTCCACTGCATCAAATTCAACTCGAAGACCAAGAAGACTCGCTCCAAATTTGGGAGGCAAGTGTATATACAGTGTGTTAGTGCTTAAGCTTGATGATGCAGTTTCCTCAATTTAAAAATATGTAATGCTGGCCTCAAGAGACTCCACTGCCACATCCATCAACTTTCATTAATTAAGTCCAAAGAGCTATTTTGTTGCTTGTCTTGATTTGAACAAACAAAAAACTTAAATTTGCCTTGATTTTTTTTCAGTATTCTTTTTATGTTTTTTCCGGGCCGGGCGGCCCGGTAGACAGTCCGGCCTGCTAAAGTGGGCGGGTATGGGAGTAACTCTCAAGTTCAATATTCTAACTTTCACATTTTTTATGAAAATCGGAGTAACTCTCAAGCTGTTTAAAATTGGTTTACAATATTTACGAGAAAAAAAAATGAGTTCTCATAACTGAGTATTTAAGATTAAGAGGATATTTGAGAGTGATTCAATTATAGATAAAATAATTTTCATAAAAGCTGAAAATAAATGTACTTCATAAATGTTTCTCCGAAATAATATTCTACGTACTAGTAAATACTCTGGTGGACCTAAGTTCCAACATAGACCTACATATGAATAAAATAAGCATTTCATTGCTGTTTAAATAAGCCATTTCATTGCCGTTTAAATAAGCATTTATATTTTTTAATAAAAAAACAAAAAAACAAATTTTTCATGCGAGAAAATCTACAAAAATGATATTAGACTAGGTGCATCAAAGCATCCTCCATGTACAAAATAATGGTGGAGAAAAGCTGAAACTGATATGCCAAATAGAGGAAAACCATTTTCAACAAAATAGAAGCTAAATTACCTAATTGTCCTCAAAATGACAGAATGGTTTTTTTTCATTGATTGGGTTTCCCACTCTCTCCACGGCAAATTATATTATACATCCGGTTGTTCCCAATTTTGGGTACAACCAAGAAATTATTTATGGTATGGATTTTATTTTATATGAGAATGAACACTAAGTTATTTGAGAATGAGTACTGTTTTATTTTAGAATGAACACTACATTATTTGTTAATGAATATTATAATTATATTGAACCAATGTACGAAAATGAGTAATGTATTATTTAAAAATGAGTACCATGCTAATTATATTTCTGCGAAAATGAGTACTACTCTATTTCAGAATGAGTAGTAGTATCTATAGGTATATATGGTTGCACCATATACTTCTCCTTACAGCTTTGCCGTGCCCACTCTTTGCACCAGGAATACGACCCCCCAAAGAAGAATCCATTTCCGCTGCAATTCTCCATCGTCCAATCTTCCCACCTCAAGGCGGAGGGAGAATTGGGGGAGAAAATCATGGCGGCGCCTTCATTGTCTTCCATGGTTTTCCGAGTCTCAGATTATTCACATCCGTCTTTGACAGCGAAGGGCAATTGGAATTCATCACAAGCTTTTTGCGGCTCTCAGATCCCACCCCGGTTTACCTCCATCTGCTCCTTTCACACTTCGTTTTGTCCTTCTCGACCACTCATCCGTTCAAGGTAAACTTTTCTTTCTTTCTTTCTTTCTTTCTTTCTCGTGGGGTATAATGGTATATCATCTGGACCCGACCCGAATTCCGGACAGCTGGGTATCAAAGCTCCCAGCTTTTTTCTTTCTAATTCTGCCGGAACGGAAGTTCTTTATATCTTGGACTTGCTATTTCATTTTTTATATGATGATGCTAGAATAAAAAAATGTTTAATTTGCTGAGGAGGTTTTCGATTTTCAACTGTGTAGCTTCAATTCAACCATTCATTGAAAACTCGTTTCTTGTGAATTTGGCATTCTTATATGGACCAGCTTATGTGATTTTTGTGGGTTGATCAATGTGATTCATGCGATCAAATTGATAACCAGAATGGGGTAAGTAGAAAAAGTTTTTCTTTTGGGTGCTTGAAGCCAGGAACCTATTACAGTAGAAAAATCACAATTTTGAATTTATATCTTTAGGTCAGACTGAAACTCGGTTTGAAACTCAGAACTGCAAAAAGTTTCTTTTTGAATTTCTAGTGTTTTTTTTAATGCGAACATGCGTACAGACAGAGTGGAACATTTAGAGTTAGAGCAACTGTAATACAAGAAACTGAAGAGAAAGTGGTTATAGAAGAATCACCCCCACCCAAGAGCCTGTCTGGAAGTGAAGGAGGAAGCAATGAGGAGCCTGCATATGATACTTCCACTGATCCAAATAAATGGGTCGTAAAGTTGGAGCAGTCTGTTAATATATTCCTCACGGTACAAGCTTCAATCCTTAATATATGCCTGGGTTTTTGCTATTTGTTTAGCATGTACTCCGTATTCAGCTTATTTTAAAACAAAACTGCTATTTTTATTATTTGCCCAAAGTTATTTTTCATGGATCTCTACATCTTTGTGTGGTTTCTTACCCTCTTTATGATTCAATTTATGCAATTCAATGACAAAGTGTGTCAGAAGAGGACCAAATCAATAGATTATTCTTTATACATTATTGTGCTTAGATTCATGTGGGTTAATGAAGAAACTAGGTTTGGATACAATCCATCAGATTTTTGATGAAACTACTACTCTCTATCATCTCAGGATACAGTGATAAAAATGCTTGACAGCTTGTACAGTGACAGACATTACGCAAGGTTTTTCGTTCTTGAAACTATCGCAAGAGTTCCTTATTTTGGTAAGATTATTCTCACATCTTTAGAGACTTCTGAATTGGAGGCTTATTATTTCACCATCATGGTTTGAAACTTCTAATGGTTTAATGATTTGTGGCAGCATTCATGTCTGTTCTGCATATGTATGAAAGCTTTGGTTGGTGGAGAAGAGCCGACTATTTGAAAGTTCACTTTGCTGAAAGCTGGAATGAGATGCACCATCTCCTCATAATGGAAGTATAACATCTTTCCCAGCATCACTACTTAATATACTTCTTCTATCCCAATGTTTATGTCCAGTTTTTTGGACTCTTGGTCCGAGGAGGAAATGCATACTTTGCCCATTGTGCGGCTTTTAGCTGAGGGTAAGGGTTGGTTAGGTGCTGTAAAAGTAAAGTTGAATATAAAAGGGGCAAAAGGGTCAAATAAGCCTGTAGAGTAAAGTGGAGTATTACCTTAAAAGGAAAGTGGACAAATACAACAGGATGGCCCAAACAAGAAAACTGGGTAAGTACATCAAGTCGAAGGGAATATATGTAAATCACTCAACGGTTGCTTCCCATGTGCTTGGAGTAGGAAATTTATAAGTTGTAATGCATTGTGGGGTGGTCCTATATATTGCAGGAATTGGGTGGAAATGCTTGGTGGTTCGACCGGTTTCTTGCTCAACACATTGCAATTTTCTACTATCTCATGACAGTTTTCATGTATGCCCTGAGCCCAAGAATGGCATGTGAGTATGAATATTGGCCCATGCAATGTTTTACTCGCTCTTCGACTAGCAAAATTCTTCCACTCACTCTCACTAGATGCTTGCATAATGGTACGAATCCATTTATCTATTTTTTACTTTTTCAATCACAGATCATTTCTCGGAATGCGTGGAGAGCCATGCATTTGAAACTTATGATAAATTTGTCAAATCTCATGGAGGTATGCATTTCTTTAATGACCATTGCAATTTGCAAGCTTATTCCCATTTCCCAGAAATATGTTACTCTTTTCATTCCATTCCATATTAAGTGTCCGTTTTGGTTTCCTCGTTGAACTTTTGACCAACACTATTTCTAACATTATTAGCAAAATTATAAAGAGATAATATGATGTATATACTTTTCCATTCCATACAAATATCTGAGTAAAATTTTTATATTTTAATTCATAATAATTTTTTTTTTTTTTGCAGATGAGTTGAGGAAACTTCCTGCACCAGAAGTTGCTGTGAGATACTACACTGAAGGCGATTTGTATTTGTTTGGTGAGTAGTAAGTTTACGTCTACTTTTCTGATATTATCGGCAGATGATGATACCAATCGCATTCAAATAAGTTTGACCATGGTAGAAAAACAAGAAATTTCCTTCCAAAGTGTTATTAACATATGAAAGGCTCTTCAAAATTTTGCATCAGATGAATTCCAAACTTCAAGGGTGCCCAATACTCGAAGACCAAAAATAGGTAAGCTTTGCCCACTGTTTACCTTATTTTGTATCGCCCACACACACACACACACAAATGGGCAAATGATCACGTGAAGAAAGCGGGATTCTTGATTATGACACCGGTCCATTTGGGAGCCTTATGCTTCCCTGTTTGACCCTGAAGTAGTTCCTACTCCCGCTAACCTCAACCTATAAACCCACCTAACCTGATGGGGGGATGGGGGGGGGGGGGGTTATGAGGGGAGTTAGGAGGTGTGAACTACTTCAGTCATTGTATATATCCGCAGCATGACTGTGAGACACACTAGTGATGTCATCCATGGTGTCAAACTCCAATGTTAAAATGATGGGCAATGCTAGGGGTACACTAACATGAGATACCCCATGTGTACACCAAGCCAACACACACACACAACCCCCAACATGTCTGTGCAGCACAGACATTTAATGTCTGAGACACAAAATGTCTGTGCTGCACAGACATGTTGTGTCTGTGTCTGTGTTGGCTTGGTGTACACATGGGTACCTTATGTTGGTGTACCCCTAGCATTTTCCTAAAATGATACTTTTTCCCACCCATATATTGCTGAAGATGTGTGTGTATGTGTGCGCAGAGAACTTGTACGATGTATTTGTGAACGTGAGAGATGACGAAGCGGAGCATTGCAAGACTATGAAAGGGTGTCAGAGGCACGGGAGCATTCGGTCCCCACACTCGTATTCAGAGGAGTGCGACGTCGTCTCCTCCCACCACTGCCGTGACTGTGAAGGCATCCTCGACTGCATCCAGAAATCCGTTGCTGATTGATTCCCTCCACAAGTTCGTCGGGAGTCGAATCGAATGTTACGTGTCAACACGAGATTAGTCAGTACTGTAGTAGTAGTAGTATACATAGATTAGCATCATCATCTCCAGTGTAAGTAGAGCAAGAAGAAAAACCACAGCTGTATTCATCCTTTTAATACACAAGAAGAGAATATTTATTACATTCCTCACAGGAAATCGTTTCGGTTTTGATTTTTTGAGTCAAATAATGACACTATACAATCATAAAATTGTGAAAATAGTATATTTAACATAAATTCAATATAATTGAGTTTATTTTAGGATATAGTTTTGACTTTTGACATATCAAATTTTATTATATTTATTTATTCAAATTATGTTCAACTTGATAAGAAAAAGTACAAACTGAAAACAATTTTGTCGGAATGTAGCCATGGAGGTCAGGAGGTAGTATGTCCCTAGATTTTCATAGTTTGATTATTTAATTAAACTGTGGTATCCTTTGACCGCGAATTATGGAAAAAGTATATTTAATTATAATTTAAATTTAATAAGATTGGTTTATTTTAAAATATAATTTTAAAATATTAAATTTTTCTATAATATTTAATTATTATAAACTATATTTTATTCTGAAAAGATGTCAAACTTGATATTTTAAGGAGTGGAGTGTTGGCGTCTACTCCATAGGTTCTAGGGTTTCAAAAACCAAATTCCCATTTTTGCAAAGTACGCTCACAGTCACTCTTCATTCCGCCGGCTCCCGTCCAACCCTTCATTCTTCTCAATCCATCTTCAAGCTCTTCACATTCCAATCACAAACGGATCGATTCTGCGCCAATCTCCGAAACATGTAAGTAAAAGATCTTCTTCTTCCTCTATCTTTCTACAGCTTCCCTATAATTTTGCGAAACTAAATTCAATTTTCGATATTTGTTTTACTTGCCCAGTTAAGCGTACTCTTCTATTTCAAGAATTCCTAGAACTCATTTGCTCATATACTCCCAATAAAGTTGGAATCTTGGGTAGTTTCGAAGGGTTTATATGGGGAAATCTGGTGGGAAGAAAAAGAAGGGCGGTGCTACCCAGAACCAGGGAACTGGAGTGAAAAATGGACAAACTCCCGTTGCTAATGGAAGTGTTGAAGTGGACTCTTCAAATTTGTTGAAAAGGGCTCTGGAGCTCAAAGAAGAGGGGAACAATAGGTTTCAGGCGAAAGACTACGTGGGCGCCCTTCAGCAGTATGAGAATGCCCTCAAACTCACCCCGAAAACTCACCCTGACATAGCCGTGTTTCATAGCAACAGGGCTGCTTGTTTGATGCAGATGAGGCCCATAGATTATGACGCTGTGATTCATGAGTGTTCGATGGCCCTCCAGGTTCAGCCCCAATTCGTCCGCGCCCTTCTCAGAAGAGCCCGTGCTTATGAGGCTGTTGGGAAGTATGATATGGCTATGCGGGATGTGCAGATGCTGTTGAATGCCGATCCGAGTCACCAAGATGCTCTGGATATTGCTGGGCGGTTGAGGACAGCTCTTGGGCCTCCTCGTCCAGAGGCCCAACAGGATCTTCAGAGCCATCCATCACCAGCTGCCTTAGGTGCATCTGCTGTGGGCTCGGCTCCAATTGCGGGCCTTAGCCCATGCCTGCCTGCTCGACCCGGGCCTAAGAAGCAGCCACCTTCAGTTGGGACTTCCTCACTGCCACCTAATAATAATATTAAGCATCATCCGGTTAAGCCAATCATTGACAATGGCCATCAAGCTAAGGTGCAATTGCCTGTGGTTGTCTTAAAGCCTTCAAGTGGTTCTCCCAAGCCTAACATTGATCCAGTCAAAGATGACCAAAAGGAACATGCAATGATGACTAGTGTTCAGTCAAAGCCAGCAGCTGTGATTTGTTGGAGGCCACTGAAGCTCGTCTATGATCACGACATACGTCTTGCACAGATGCCTCAAAACTGCAGTTTCAGAGAGTTGAGAGACATTGTTACCAAACGCTTCCCAATGTCAAAATCGGTTCTTGTCAAGTACAAGGACGGTGACGGTGATTTGGTCACTATCACATCCACAGCCGAGCTGAGATTAGCTGAGTCCAGTGTGGTTGACCCTGTTGGGACTCTGAAACTGCACATTGTTGAAGTGAGCCCTGAACAAGAGCCACCTCTATTGGAAGAAGAAGTAGAAGAGGAGAAGCCTGTTGAAAGTGATACTGTTGTTGAAAGTGACATCACCAAAACAGAAAATGATGTCACCGACAAGGGGAAATCTGGAACTTCAGGAGATTTGGAGACAAAGGAAGTGGAGATGGATGATTGGTTGTTTGAGTTTGCACAGTTGTTCAGGACTCACGTTGGCATCGACCCGGATGCCCATATCGATCTGCACGAGCTAGGAATGGAGCTTTGCTCAGAAGCACTTGAGGAAACAGTCACCAGTGAAGAGGCTCAAGCTCTGTTTGACAAAGCAGCTTTAAAGTTTCAAGAAGTGGCGGCACTGGCTTTCTTCAACTGGGGAAATGTTTACATGTGTGCTGCAAGGAAACGCATACCCATCGAAGATCCTGGGTCAAAGGAGCTATTGGCCTCACAGCTTCAGTCTGCTTATGACTGGGTGAGGGACAAATACTCTCTGGCCAAAACAAAGTACGAGGAGGCCCTTCAGATCAAACCTGACTTCTACGAGGGTTTATTGGCAATAGGACAGCAACAGTTTGAAATGGCAAAGCTCCAATGGTCATTCGTTTTGGCCAAGAAGGAAGACCTGTCGAAGTGGGACCCAACCGAGACGTTCAAGCTTTTTGACATTGCAGAGGAGAAAATGAATGTTGCAACAGAAATGTGGGAGAAGCATGAAGAACAAAGAGCTAAAGAGTTGAAGGATCCTGACAGAAGCAAGAGAGATGAAGTGCTAAGAAGAAGAAAGAAGCAAGGAAATGGCCTTCCTGATACTGAAACTGAGATCTCGGCAGAAGAAGCAGCAGAACAAACTGCCTTAATGAGATCCCAAATACATCTGTTTTGGGGTAATATGCTTTTTGAGCGGTCTCAGATCGAGTGTAAGTTGGGTTTGGATGGTTGGGAGAAGAACCGTGACACTGGAGTTGAGAGGTTTAAGCTTGCAGGCGCTTCTGAATCCGATATCGCGACCGTTCTGAAAAATCATTGCTCCAATCAAGAAGCAGCTGCTGCGAAGGAACCCGGGAAAGTGACTGACTAAGAAGAAGATGATGATGACACTGATGATGCCGATCAACTGTAGGGTATTTTTACTCTATTTTGTTTCAAGGATTGAGGAACAATTTATTTTATTTTTCGTATTCAAGTAGCGAATTGGCTTCACATTTTATTTATTGTGTGGTCACAAGTTTGAACTGTGGGCAATAAAATGTCAACCAGACAATAGTTTTGTGTTTTTTGTGATATGTAATAGATGCCAGCTTGTTCTATATGAACATGATGTTCTTCTTTGTTTCAGGTAATAATAAGAACTGTTTGGCTGCGTGGCTTATTCTGTGTAATAACAAGGATGAGCAGAGCAGAGCAGAGTAAGAGCTTATTCATGAAACTCCATTTCTTCTTTCTTTCAAATTTCAATACAAATAAACTCGGGAATCGGAGTAAGATGAAACAAAAGAAATACTTGGAATTCTCAAAAAACACATGGAAAAAAAAAACAGACACAGACACAACACGACATAACCAACACACAACCTTAGCAAACACTTAAATCAGTAGTACCATCACATTAGACTCTACTATCATCATCATCATCATGATAGTTCTTATTATTCTTCGAAAATCTTCTCAGCACCCATATATAGCTACTAAATGCCTAGCATCAAACAGAGCTCTGAAGGGCCTTCATGGCTTCGAACCTGGGCTCCTTGGCCTGGAACTTGAGCCCAGCATAGAGCTTCATGTACTCATCGAACACGAACTTGGGATACTTCCCCTTGTTCTCCTCTGCTTCCTTTTCCACCAGCGCCGGCGCCGGATAGATCACGGCGTCATCCCCTGGGTTGTAGAACGACGCGATCGACATCCTGTTCCCATCCGTTTGGGCTATCACTCTGTGCATCACGCTCTTGTACTTCCCATTTGTGATCACCTGAAAACACGTCGTCAGAATATAAGAAACTTTTATGATCCCACAACCACAAGTTTAGATTTTTGGTTGAGTTGGTGGTTTTAATTACCTCGATCTGGTCACCAAGGTTAATGACAATGGAGTGGTGCATGGGGGGAACGTCGATCCACTGGTCGTCCTTGAGGAGCTGGAGGCCGCTGACTTTGTCGTCCTGGAAGAGGAGGATGATGCCTCCGGCATCGGTGTGGGCCCGGAGGCCCTTGATGAGGTCTGGGTTGGGGCATGGAGGGTAGCTGCTGACCTTGGTGCCAAAGTTAGGACCCTTTGACCCATAGAAGGCCTTCTTCAGGTACCCTTTCTCCAGCCCCAGATTCTCACACAGCAAATCCAGCAGTTTCTCAGCCAGCTTCTCCAGCTCGTCTGCGAATTCCTTCATTACCCTCCTGTAATCATCTTCAAGGTCTGGGACTTGGGAGATGTTGGAGGAAGGGAGATGTTTCAAGAAGAAGGTTGACTCCCAGTCAAGATCATTGATCTCATTCTGAACAGCATCAAGTCCCCTTGAGGCCACCATTTCCTTGAACCTTTCCTCCATACTCTTCTTGTAGTGGCCTTTTGTCAACTTCTCCACTGTGTCCAACAGCTCAACTGATATCCCATGATCCACCACCTATAACAAGGATGAAGACAAAATATATTATTTTGACTATTATTATATGCTGATATATATTACCCTTAGTATAAAAATATGATGTTTGGAAGCTTCATTTTGAAAAAGAAAGAGAGAAAAAAAACCTCAAAGAATCCAAAGTTTTGGCAAGCATCGTGAATTTGTGCCATAGTGGCAGCCCTTTCTTGAGTGTTAAGCTTCTCGAGGTTAATAATGGGGAAACAAGCCATGTCTTTCTCTATGTTTTTAATAAAAATAATAATATAATGGAGTTTCAACTACTTTGTCACTCACTCACTCTCTACTAATAAGTATATGTGTTTGAAGGATGGTGAAAGATATGTCATGCATGGAGGGGTATTTATAGTCCTATGAGGAGCTATTTATTGAACAATTCACGGAAAGAAAGATATCAAAAGCTTTTTTGATAAGCTTTTTACTTAGGAAAAATTTACAATACTATTCTGACCAATCTCTGATTTTGTAAGAATACTCCGCAAATTAATTATTTACATCATTACTCTCACAATTGCTCTCTTTTCTACAAAAATAAATTATCACTTTTAAAATTTTAGTGATATGTGTGAAATTCATATGAATGATCATCTTTTTAACATCTCTAATTCTAATGCATTTATGCTTTCGATTCGGATTTACATTTTTTATGTAAAAGTTTGAAAATTTAACTTTAATTTAAGAAGTTGTGACTGTTTTTTAAACACTAAAATTAATATCTTGGAACAGTAACATAAATAAAAATTACACGAGCACACAAGAATTATTAATATTTGAAAAAATAATTAATAATAGTGAAAAAACAAAATAAAAATGTGAATGAAATAAGAAAATATAGTTTGCAAAATAGTTATTTATCTTAGAATAAATTCTATAATTCGTCCTTTATAACAAGGAGTTTCCATATTTAGTCCTCTATTATCAAACATTATCCTCGTACTCCTTCTTTTATGAGTGCTTTTCCACAAGTGGTCCTTTTTTTTATTCTCTGTCATGTTGGTGTTAATTTAAAGGCCAAAAATATAATTTGACGTCAACCGTATGTCCAGTGACATATTTTGATATTTGTTAGACGGAAAACATAAAAATAATGACTATGATTGTGGGCTAGGATTTTGACAAAAGACCAAATTTGTAGATTATAATTTTAGTAGAAAGTGATTGTAATTCAAAAATGACGCATCTGGAATGTTCTTTAGAATAGTGTATGACAAGAAATATATTATCATTGTGAAATTACATTTTAGGCCCCAAATTAACACCAATATGATAAAAGATAAAAAAGACTATTTTTGAAATATATCTGAAAAAGAAAAACCACCGAGGTAATATTTGATAATAAATGACTAAATAGATAAATCTCCATGTTATAAAGGACCAATTATGTAATTTACTCTTTATCTTATAAACTTATTTACTAATTTTGAAAACAATTAGTTTTTTATTTTCATAGATGTGATTCTATAAACATAAATTTTCTTGAATAATAAAATAGAAAATATATGTACTTAGAAAATATAAATATTATTATTTTTTAAATAACAAATAGTTTTAAAAATGTTGTGCATGCATTTAATTTTATATAAGTTTTTGTTTTTGAAATGTATAGAAGAAGAAAAAATGATTAATAGTTATAAAAATTAATATAATGTGTAGATAAAAATAAATATGAGTCTTTTCATTTTCTTGACTTTCATGAATGAATTCATTTATGTAATAATTAAGTGACACATGAGACATGATGTGGCACGGTTGTTAGTACTTTTTATTCAAATTTACATTTTTTATGTAAGTTTTTACGTAAAAGCTTTAGTTTTTATTTAGAAACTTGTAACTATTTTTTAAACGCTGAAATTATTAATTTTGGAATAGTAACATAAATGAAATTTACACTTATTTAATTGTTATTCTTTATTTATTTGTTTTTCAATATCAATAAACTCATTATATGTGATATCTATATGGTCAATTATACAATATCATATCTAGAGTATTGCAAAACTTTAGATATCTTATTTTTTTTTGTATTTTAACAAAACTTTATATCTTATTTTTTCTACTTTAACTAAATTTTATATCTTATACTTTCTTTTTTGTATCTTATTGCAAAACTTTAGATATCTTATTTGTATATCTTATTTTTTTCTATTTTAACACAATTTTATAGTGGAGTTTCCTCTTGTTTTTTGAGTTTTAATGTACTTTTTTATTTTATTTTTGACTTTACATAAATATTTTAAATAAATTGAATTATATATATATGTATATATATATATATATATATATATATATATATTATTTTAAATAAATTGAATTTATTTTGACTTTTTTATTTTATTTTTGACTTTATATGTGTGTGTGTGTGTGTACCACTAAAAAAGTTCACCTATGTTTGATTCCTATACATTATAAGTCTGAAATTACTCCTCCATAATACTCTATCTCTAGTTGCAAATTAAAGCCAAGCTGAATTTTTTTCTAATTAATTTGATTAAAATAACTAATCATTTAAGAAATAGTCTAAATATGAAATTCATTTAGAGATAAAGATCTTATTTGTTAACTAAAAGTTTTTTATAAATAAACAAAAAATACGGAGTTAATAAATACGGAGTTAACAAAAAATACGGAGTTAAAAATATGGTGACACGTTTTATTCTAATCTATTTTATTTTATACTCCGTAATATAGTTAAAAAATAGCAAATCATGATAAATTGAAAATCATGTAAATTAGATTATAAAGTATCTAAAAACTGTAAATCATAAATTGTCCAGTAATTGAATCAAATTAAAAGTTCTATTCATTGAGCTACTCAATCAATTATACTCCGTATCTTGTTTTTTTTCAATTGTTACACTTTTATAATCCAGACGTCTTTTTTTTAAAGATATTTTTAAAATATGTAGTATTTTGTTTTAAATTTTACTTCAACATTTAAATAAATAAAATTAGACTTTTAATTAAGGCATCAATTGTGTCATTTGTGTGTTGGTGCTTTACATTTTGAAGAAACATTTCACTGCAATTTCGGCAAATATTATCACAAATATAATTTTTATAAAACAATATCTAATAATTGAATACTGTATAAATTTTCAAATTTTGGCGAAATGTTTGGTACTTCGAATTTAATATTCTTACATTAGTTTATTTATGGGACATTTCTGTCTATGTTTTGCTAAAATTTCTGTAAAGTTTTCAATATTATTTGAAATTTTGCAGTAAAGTAAAATTTTCAATAAAATGTTCCAGTAAAGTAAAATTTTCAATATTATTTTATTGAAATTTCAGCCAAATGTTCCAGTAGAGTTTAACATACTCCGTAATTAAAGTAGTTGAAATTTATATTCCATGTGTATCAAAATTATAAGTCTTAGTGCATTATTTGCGCACCAAATCCTTTTCTTTCTTCACTTAGTTAGCTAATTACTCCATATTTGTAAAAATAACTTAGAAATACCACCTACTACGTATTATTTTATAGAGTATTTGATATAGTTTTTTAATATACTTCTTAACTATTATTTTAAATTTTTTTATTCAATTAAATTAAATTAAAAATAAATAGATCAAATTTGTTATGGGGCGGAGAGAGTGTAAAATATGATTAAATGAAAATTTCAATAAGAAGGAAGATACTCCCTCCATCACGGTATGTTCATCCAAAAGATCATGAGAAGTTTAACTAGACGAATACACAACTAGTTTATTTTGATATATAGAATGAAGTGACATTTTTTTAGTAAAATAAAATAAATTAAAGCTTTTTAATTAAATATAATATTAAAACCTATGATTAATTTTTTCAAAGTTAATGTGATTTTGACGGAGCTAAAAAAGCATTCTATTTTAAAAATTCTAAAGATATTACAATAGTCATTCCATTTAAAATATAATGATTTTACTTTTTTTAGAAAGTTAGGGGTGAGCTTGTCATTTTACCTCTATGTATTATTTTAAAAATATGTAAAATTTTACTGGTTAAAAAAATATAAATTTAATTCTTTTTTATTATACATTTGGTAACATATAAAGAAGAGCAAATAAAGACATAAAATTGTCAAGCACATTGTTGTCAAGTTTGAACTTTGACTACCAACAAGGCAACAAAAGTATTGACACTTAGGTTGTGTTCCGTTCATCTGATCAGATTTGATCCGGTCTGATCTGATCTAATTGCGGTTATAATTAAAGTTGTTTCTGATCTGATCATAACAAGAATAAGTAATAAGTAGAAAAAAAATATGTTGAACGGAATGATGCCTTATACTTCAAAAGATCGAGTATATATGAATAAATACTACGAAGTATTGTACATTGTTATAGAGTAAAAAAAGAGAGCCTATTAAGACTAAATTCGCTCCAATTTTATTTTGAAATTTCGCCCAACCATATTTGACTCGTACGTAGGGTTGTAAACAAATCAAATTAAAGTGAGTATCGAGATATTTGAATTTGTATTTGTTGAAATTTATTTATGTGTGTGTGTGTGTGTGTGTGTGTATATATATATATATATATATATATATATATATATAGGGGCTGGTTCCTGTGAGAATGCACCTTGTGGAGAGAAATGAGAATGAAATCTAGCCGTTAGATCTGATGCATTGTGCGGCTCAGATTGCATCTTGCGCTCAGGTTTTGAGATAGTGCATTTTCAAAGGATTATTTTGCATTTCGTCGTGATGCATTTTCCAACCATTTTGTTGCATCTAATTTTGATGCAATCCTGACCCTTAGATCGCACAATCTAAATCACCAGATCCATTCTCATTTCTCTCCTAAGATCGCATTCTCACCAGAACCAAAATATATATATATATATATAGACACACACACACAAATATCATTCGAATCGAATATGTCTGTATAAGTATTTATTTAATATTCGATTAAAAACTAGTATTTGAATATGTATTTTATTTATGTGAATTCGAATTATTATGTTCGAACAAAGACCACGAATCAAATTTGAAGTATTTGATTTGTTTACACCCCTACTTGT